AAAGACCAGAAGACTTCAGCTACTGATGTATCCTGGTGCCAAGTTCACCGCACTATTGATGATGTTTCTCTTTCTCTCTGTCTGTCTTTTCTCTGCTTGTCTGCTTGCCTGCCTGCTTTTCTAATCATCCGTTTAGGTACAGGAGACCTATCTGACAAACGAAAAGTTGTGGCAGCATGAAAACAGTTTTGTTGATTCAAGTCACTGAAAAGTGGTTCTATTTTTAGAAAATGCTGATAAACAACAACAGCGNCTATCTGACAAACGAAAAGTTGTGGCAGCATGAAAACAGTTTTGTTGATTCAAGTCACTGAAAAGTGGTTCTATTTTTAGAAAATGCTGATAAACAACAACAGCGCTTTGCTCATGTTCAGATGCCTTCAAATTAAAAATGACATTTAAAAATCAATTATCAACTTTTTTTGCGACATTTTTGTCATTGCTGCAGCAATATTCAAATTTGAAGCAGCTTTGTTCAAATTAGCGAGTGCTCATTAAAATCAGTCTTTACATTTTTATTTCAATGACAACAGTTGTCAAGTGCACGCAAATTAGCACTCAAAAAAATGAGCTTTCTGCAAAAAACATTTTTTTCAAGCTGAACTTTTAAAAATTAAGCGCCAAAATAGTTTGACTCGTCGTTAGACAAACAGTCAGAGCAGTTTGAACTGCACTGAACTGCACTTAGCTCTGATCAAAGTTCAGCTAAAGTTGGGCAAAAACAAAACAAAAACAAAGCCAAATCACCTGCACTTTGACCAAAAAGAGGGTAACCAAGGATAGGTACGAGGTAAATTCAAATAAGGAGAGCCCCTTTCCTTTCTCACTTTTTGCCCAACTCAGAAAAAAGTTCCCCACTTCTATTCCCGTCTGCGCAGGCGATTGCAAAGCCTCTCCTTCTCCCTTTCATTCTCGGTCACGTGCCAAATGTGCTCGCAAAAGAGAGAGAGATTGAGATAGACAGGGCAATCGAGAGAGAGAGAGAGAGAGAGAGAGAGAGGCAAGCAAGCCAACTGTTGACAATGCCGCCAAAAGGCTGCTGCTGCCACTGCTAGAACTGTTGCTCACGGACAGGCAGACAAAAACAGACAGAAACAGAGACAGAGAGAGAGATAGACTGAGCAACAGCACTTTTGGTGGTGGTGGTGGTGGCTGTTGTACTCTGTGTCTCCGCCGTTGATTGCCGTTGAGATTAGGTGATCCTGCCCCTTCTCCGTTTCTCGTTATCCTCTACTACTTTCGGCGCAGCAGTACTCCTCTACTCCTCTCTTCTACTCTCATCAGTAAACAAATCATCATCATCATCATCAACTTTGTGGTGGCTTTGTGCGGCTGTGTGTGTTGTATTGCACCGCGGACGAGCCTCTTTCTTTCTGTTTCTCTTTATCCCCCATTATCTTTGGTGTGGCCACCACCACCTCCACTCTACTGCTCAAAAGTATCCTCTCAGCAGTTGTTGTGTTGTTGTGGTTGTTTGTGGTGTCTGATTTCGGAAGTTTTTGAGCATTTCCTTCCTGGAGCTTCAAGATGGACTCCCCTTCGGTTGGTTGTAATCACCAGCACCACCACCACCACCACCACCCTCCCCATCACCCCCATCACCAGAAGCATAATCACCAGCAGCAACAGCATAATCATCACCAGCAACAGCAGCAGCATAATCATCATCACAATAATAGCCATCAAAATCACCACCACCAACAGCAACAAGTACAACAGCAGCAGCATGAATCGGCCAAGATTGACCGCCTGGTCGTCATCGACCCTGACCTGGCGGCAAATGAGGCCTTCATGCTCTCGCTCAAGGTAAGGAAGTTCAAGGTCTTTTGGGTGCTTTGTTGATGTTTTGGTAACCTTCTTTTGATTACTTCTTCTCCAAAATAGAACTTCAACGTACCCGTTCAGACGCAGTTTGATGAGGTTGGTAACGTTGAAGAACTACGAGAACTTGACGAAAAGATCCACGATGATCCGCCATCAACCGCATCTTCATCGACTTCATCAACAGCAACAACAACTCCCACTTCAGACGATGGTGTCCTCTACATCAGCGGCCACTTTGAGGGCCCGCTCTTTGAGCGGCTGCTCGCCCAGAAGAAGCCCATCATCAGCGACCTGATCATCCAGAGCTGCATTGAGGAGAAGACGGTAAGATTATTTTAGAGATTTTGAGACGCAAATTAATCATAAAACTAAACTCGATTTTGTTTCCATTCCCGCTCCCAGCCTCTTCCCCTTCCCCGATTCCCCCTTTTCAACTATCAGATGAAGAACTTTGTCATCTGCTTCTCCACCACCGACAAGCGGCAAACGGTACGTGCCAATTTAGGCTGGGCTTGTCACCCACGGTGATGATGATGACCAGATTTGTTTACCTACAACTTTGTGTTCTGTTTACCACCACATTTTATTTTGGTATGCTTGTAGAAAATGATCAACCGCTACCTGAATCTGATTCGCTTCATGG